ATACGTGACACTGACATTACCAATTTAACGTAAAATACGGTTGCGTTACCTGCTATTCAGTGCAATGTTGCTTATACACTATTTAATAAAATATATTTAATGCAAAGGTTGCTGCGTACAGTATTTGTAATTTGCCTTTCAAAGAAATACCTGTACAGGATATGGGTAGGATTACGTGTCAGGATATAAAGGTTTATTGCAAACTGGACAAAGTAACGTATGAACAATATACAGGTCTCCAAACGTGGGCCAACAGTTTTAGTGAAACCCAATAGCGAAATGTAATTTAGTATGCAGATGCAAATGATGGAGATTATTTAAAAAAAAACACCTACAATATTTTATATGAAAATAATGTCACTGACAGCATAGTGTAACCTTGGACACAGCTGCTACTGTTTGTGCCTCGGTGTACACCTCTGTTGTGCCACATTCATGACCCACTGCCACTACATGTGACAGACAACCCAAGAACTCTCCACCCTATTCATTAATATATTGAGTGATTTCTCGCCCAATCGAGTGTGGGGTAACGCTCTTCTACTGTTGACAAGCCTAAACTAGTGGTAGAAATTCCACATTCCTAAAGTTGGGGGGGGGGGGGGGTGAGTTTCCATAGAACCACTGTTGACTTCCCAGGAAGGATGAATGGCCGAGTTGATCCCCGACTGAGATTTGCACTCACAACCACCCGACTGCAAGCTCTCATTCATTTATTAACGTCAGTCCACTGCTGGATACCCTGTCTACACCATGTCGTTGGGGGTTGTTTGTTTGGCAATACTTAATTACACTCGTCAGCATGAGGCGGTGAAGGGCCACCAATTCACTAAGTTCAGATGTTGTCAATGATTTAATTCTTGGCACGGAATTTTAACTCGGGCTTTTGAGTAGTGTTAATTTTCTTGATAAAATTAGTAATGATAATATTAAACTTCGTATATTTTTTTATTTTAGTCAACGACTGGTTTTATTTTTTGTACAGCATGATGATCGCCGATTCCCCATCAAAAAGGTAAGCATGACTGACGAATATTGATTGGGTGGGTGAGAAATTTCGCCCCCCCCTCACTCACACCAACATGTAGCGACTTAAGAGTAGACTACATTTTTTACTTATTTCGTCAATTAGACAGATAATTACTCAATGAAATCCACAGACTAAGACTTGAATATAAATACACAGGTTGTCGACGAGAGTAATAGTACCTAAAATTAAAGCAAATTCTGACTAAATGAACACCAGTTAATGGCGATGTGCACTCACCATGCCTTGAAGCATGAGGGAATATCTTTGGTTTCATCTCTGCAACAAAATGATGCCCGTCTATTTTAACATTTATTTCTACGTCGGGGCACGGTATTATTTTGATTATTATCTTTCAGACACTGAACCATAACCCCCTTATCCATCTGGTCCAATGTAAGTTTGAACCAGTGTCATTGTCTCCTGGGCATGGTGTGTTTCGAACTGGAAAGTTCCTGCCCTGTTTGTGATGAAGAACAGAGAGCCTTTGCGCCAACGCAACTTCTTAAGCTGGGCTAGGACGAGAGCCACTGTGTGTCATTCAGACATCAAAACGCAGCTGCTTCTGATCACAAACTGGATCTTCCCACGCGTTTCCTACCATCTATTTACAGTATTGCATACGTTGGCATCAATCCAGCACATGTAATCCATGGGGTGATGTCCCTGCAGAGTGTTGGAATTCTGGGAGTTGTTATTGACCCATTTCTACTTGAGAAAACCGCATTTTTGTGTAAATGTTTAAACCCATGTATAGATTATATGACAAGTCACGATATCACTGTAATTTAATAGTAAGACAAAGCGCCTACCTCAAATGTTAATTGTGCGCCAAATGGAAACAGACGTACCAGTAAATCAGAGCTGTATGAAACCACATTTGCACTGACTGATCACATTCAGCAAAAGAAGTCCATGCATGTGGGCCTTTTGTTTGTAGCATGCAGCAAACTTATGGAAGTCCACTTGTGTGCACTGAACTTCACAGCAAAGTCTCTTCCAAGGACCCAGATTCGTTTGTGAAGACCCAGAGATATTTTTTTTTAATATATGCGCAGCTTCAACCATGCACACCACGTGATGCATGGTCCAAGCCGCAATGCCAAATGATCATGGTATTAAATATATACGTTTAGAGTGTGGCCAAACAGAGGGTGGGGCACGATATTCCATCGTCCTGTGTCTATGCTTCCCGACGGCATTCACTAACCCACACAGACCAGGATGGTGAACAATCAACCACCCGTGACCAACATACCGTGTGGAGGCCTTCATCCAGCAGTGGATTGACAAAGGGCTGTACATGTGGCAGAGCGGTGGTTCGCTCACTGCACTATGCACCCTACGACCAGAGTTTGATTTCCAGCCTTGGCCAATAGCAATTGGTGAGTGGGATCAGTTGAGATACCAGTTGAGATGTGGACTACCGTACTCTAGCGGGCAAACCCTCTCCTACCTTTATGGGTGGTCCGAGGGTGGTCACTCATTCACCGCTGCTGCCCTCATTGACCAACATGGCATTGGGAGGCTCTCATCCAGTAATGGATTAACAAATGGCCGTAGAGTATCAAAGAAGGAAAACAGTTCACACACTTACCACCATCATCATCCACAAGCCTAATACTGTAATTTCTTACCGTGCATTTTGTCCACCATCAAACTCCACACACCACAAGCATTTACACTACAGAAATAAATTCCTGACTGTCACACAGCCATGGGTTGGGTCAATAAGTAGCTATATTTATTTATTTGCCAAAACAATTTATTCATGCTCCACAATGCTGCATCTTTTGGCATATCCTTTAAGTTGTGTGCCGCTGTGAGCTATGACGATGTACAGTCCCGTTAATGTCGTCCAGTCTAAATCGTATCCTACTGCCGCCTTTATTTTCGACAAGTATCCAAAATATAGATAAGAAATTATACATTTGTAGCGTTAAAGGTGACCACAATGAATCCACGTATAAATAAATAAACGGTTACATGCATTATTAAAAATAAATGTGCGTCTGTAAATCAACGGTGGATAGGCGTACGGTGCTGTACGTTTCCATCACCCATTTAATGGGTGTCTTGTCAAACACGTTATTACTGTACTTTGAATGCATACTTATTAAACAAATAAATAAAATGCACTTAACATGCAGTGGCAGGCCTAACCCATTATTGGCACAATTCCATCATCCAAGCTTTAAACAAGGGAGTGGGGAGGAGAGCTTGCAATGGGTCTTACACGTACACATATAGGCAGAACGGGCCTTGCTAATGAAATCAATCTGAGTTTCCAAGTTGAACAATTGTCTCCGAGAAAAAAACCCAACAACAACCCAATAAATTTCGATTTAAAGCTTTCGTGACTGCAAGGATTCATCTTCTTTGGTTCTTTCGGTAAAGTCACGTAGAATGAGAATAAAATAATAAAATAAAACAATAAAATTCTCACGACGTTTCGGCCACAACACAAGCGGCCTTCTTCAGGTGAAAGGAACAGACCTGTCGGGACGACAGAGCTACAATGAACGCTGCTAAGATTCGCAGCGTCTTTTTAAGCTGGTTGAGAGAAGTGAGGCACCTTGACAAAGGGGTTTACATATCAAATAGGAGAATTTAGCATTGAAACAGTTGAGGGATTAGCTTGTGACTGGTCACAGAAATAGCTATGTTAAAGTCAAAGCCTACACATCCACAGAGGCACCTAGTGTATGGACGCCAAAGGGGCTGCAACAACTCAACTATCATACAGTTTTTTCACATTGGTTTACTGTATGATAGTTGAGTTGTTGCAGCCCCTTTGGCGTCCATGCACTAGGTGCCTCCGTGGATGTGTAGGCTTTGACTTTAACATAGCTATTTCTGTGACCAGTCACAAGCTAATCCCTCAACTATTTCAATGCTAAATTCTCCTGTTTGATATGTAAACCCCTTTGTTAAGGTGCCTCACTTCTCTCAACCAACTTACAAGACGCTGCGAATCTTAGCAACGTTCATTGTAGCTCTGTCGTCCCGACAGCTCTGTTCCTTTCACCTGAAGAAGGCCACTTGTGTTGTGGCCGAAACGTCGTGAGAATTTTATTGTTTTATTCCATTATTTTATTCTCATTCTACGTGACTTTACCGAAAGAACCAAAGAAGATGAACAACCCAATAAAATGAAATTCGCCGCGTCAATTCTTTGCGATGCAATAACGGTTGCCATTACTTTATAACGTGTTTCGTGTTTGCCCGGTTTGTCTCGTAGAGGGCGCTGGAAGGGTGTGTGCGCGTGAAAAAATGGGGGGAAAAAACATAAACCACAAAGGACCACAACCGTGTCTTGCAAGCCCCGATAGCACAAAATTACACAATTCCCGAGGAACTAACAAAGTTTATCACGCAACAGCGAGAAGTGCTGGCTACCCCAGTGCAAGTCAAGGAAAGGCATCATCCTCAGAACCGTATTATTTACAAAGGCACACAGGGTAGATTTTATTAACGCGGTGTTGTGTTGAGTCCAATGCCAGCTATTGCTGTTTGGTATGGGGATGCAAAACGATTCGGGATTCTCTTCTGGTCTATTAAGTGAAATAAATCTAGGAACGTTTCATATACCACCGTACCGTTTCACTTTAGAAAATAAGGCTTTGGTCTATGCTAGAATATATATTTAATAGATTGTTTAATTACTTAATATGATAGTTCAGCTTTACAAACAGTTTATGTAAAAAAAGCAGAGAATGTTCTTTGGTTTGTCAACCTACCATTTAAACATTTTCAGTTACAATGGGCAATACATATATACCCATTTATTTCGAAGCATTTTCCAGCTTTTGAAAAATTAAGGACAACCATCTCATTGCAAGTTTGTCCACTGATGGGGTACAAACATGACCAAAAAAACCCCCCAACTCGTTGTGTATTTCTGTGAATGCACCTGGCCGCAATTAAATAAAAAAAGTCATTTTTCCCCTCTTCTTACTTCTCAAATGAAAACTTTTTTTCACGTGCCAGTGCTCAAATATCCGCTCCCACGTTGCAACTCGCAATGTCCATCCATGACGAGCACAGCCGCGATCCAGCAGTTAAGAGGCACGTGTGCGCAAGCTCACTCAAGCTGCCTGCTGGGGTTTTCTCTCTCAGATTTGCTTCAGTTGCTTGTACGGGAGCGAGCGCTCAAGAACAACATCAGTCTTCGAGATTTTTTTATTTCCCCTCTCCTGCGCTGTTCTGCTCCAGTTGCTCCAGAGTGGCGGTCGTGGGTTACGCAGAGCGGTGGGGAATGGCGGGCAGGGTGGTGGGGTTGTCGGGGGAAGGCAGTTTTTTTTTTTTGGGGGGGGGGGGGTCATGTTTGGGAGTCGGGTGGCGGTTGCGGCGAGGAGGTGGAGGAAGTCCGAAAATGAGCGAGGAACGGAGCCCAAAACGGCCACCGCCGCTATTTGCACACGAACCTGTCCACGACCGACGTGCACTTCTTGCACTTGACGTAGCAGCACCAGTGGAACTTGCAGTTGCAGCGCTCCACCACGGTCGCCTTGAAGTGGTCGTAGCCGCGGCCGCAGCACATGAGCTCGCAGCCGTCCATGCCCTCCGACGTCTTGTTGCACGAGCGGCCTGCCGTGCCCAGCGAGCCCGTCGTCTCGTTGCGCACGCAGTAGTCCGGGCTCGCGTCCACGTGCACCAGATTGTCGACGGACGGCGGGCTGAACTTGCGGCTGGCCGGCTCCAGGTTGCCGCGGCGTCCCAGGCGCACGGCCGACGCGCTGTCGTACTTCTCCTTGAGCTCCTTGCCCACCTTGCGGAAATCGGCGAGCTGCAGCCAGCACGTCTTGAGCGAGCACGAGCCCGACACGCCGTGGCACTTGCAAGCCACGTCCGCCAAGCGGTAGACGGCCTGGCGGGGGTGGAGGGGTGGTTGTCGCGCCCGAGGGTTTAGGGAGTTTTTTTTTTTTGGGGAGGGCCGGGGGGAGGGCCGGGGGAGAGAAGGGAGAGGGCATCGAGGTGGATTACGGAGGAGAGGGAAACAAATGCTCTCGAGCCATTTAGAAGGGGGAAAACATGAACATTGCGCCGAGGCATTATTGTATGAGAGTGGAAACATGCGGCAAATGTCCTGTCACTTTTCTATTGACCGTATTCCAAACATGTGACTGAAGGAAACCCAGAATACGTTATTACCATGCTCGAAAAAAAGAAATGCATGAAATAGTAGTACTATAAAGCATATTTCCATGAATAATTTAAGCCAGCTACAAAGTCTGTAATTATTTGCATTTTTGCTAAATGGGCCACTGCTGAAGCTGCATCCATCCACTCGCTAATGTTTGGAAAGGAACTTTACCGGCCGTCATCTCCGCTCTCGCTCACCACAATGCCCGATTCAAAGCCCCCCCCCCCCCAGCTGTTCGTCATTACCCCTCGGCGTTTGCAATTCATGCACAAATTCACATTGTATCCCCACGAGGAACTGATTAACTCGGAGCGTGTCATTGTGCACTTTTCCCGTAGAGGCTCCCAGTGCTCAAAGCATGAATTCATGCGCTCTGCCCTGCAAGCTAGCCTTACAGAGGCACCTACAGACATTGTCCACAGCACATGCATTCAATAAGAGACAAGGCGTGCACTGTCCCGTGGTGCACTATTCATAATGTTTTGTCTTGAGAGTCATGAATACGTTTTGGAATGTATTGAGTTGATGATTGAACATTTTCTGTAAATGACCCACGATAAATGTTTGTTCATGATTAAAGTTATCTTCGTATTAGACGGTCAACATCAGTATCAAGTTAATTCTAAATCGGTTCTGGGATCCACCTTCACCAACTGGGCAAATATGGCCAAAACAATCGCTGCAAATGACGTTGCCTGTAGGGCCTTTAGCCATCAGTGGACTTAAGTAGTTTCTGCAGGGTGCAGTTCTGTATGATCAAAAACACCGCAGTATATACGTAACCGTGTAAGGCTCTCCCCTGTTGAACAATGTTGAGTACTGTACGTCTTCCCAATATATTGCGATAGTGTTGCTCTTCTGTAATACTGTATCGTACTAATAATTCAGAATGTGTAACTTGCACAGTTAGCATTCACTCTCAGGGAGTGATAGACTTATTTACAAGCACCGGAAGCCACAGACAAGCAAAGTAGGAAGGCAGCCAGAACCCAAGCTCTGTGGTCCTATTTTGGGACGTTTGTATAAAGGCCTCGATTGGCCAATCAGAGTTGTGGGTTTAGAGAGCGTCATTTAATCCTTATGCGGCCCCACTCACTTTAAGCTCTCCTCACAATTGGCAATAGCCAACGGAGATCCCAGCTATGCACTTTGTAGCGGACCCGTCACCCCCTATCGCACTGTATTGACACCTCTGTTGGGCAATAATCAGGTAATGATGTGAATTGATGACACGTTACGACTGCATGTTTTGATACGTATTATCGGCTTACTTAGGGTATTTTTGTTTCAGTGTATGAACAAGCCTATCATATCCGCACCTTCGATTTGCACGCTTGGTTACGTACGGTGCGAAAGAAGTTCAACATATAGTAACATACATGTTACAATTATGGTCTCATTCGGACGTTATACTAATAGTTTTCTGCTTGTTTTCTCAGGAAAGTCTCACTGAGTCTCACGGCTCTTTTTCAGGATGGTCCTGCCAAATTGTCGCAGTACGGGGGGTGGGGGCGATCATTTATAAGTATAATTCCAACCTGGTAATTTACAAGAAAATGTGTTTTAATTCGACAAATTTGGAACGTGACGTCGGAACGCAGCGGTCTGGGCTTGTAATCCTGTGCGCCCAGGAAACAATGGAACGTTGGGCCAACGTTGGTCCAACGGGTTCAATTGCATGCCAAGGCTGGCTCAACGTTGCATGTTGACGGGCCTCGTGCTAATAGCAGGTGAAGCAACAAAAACGAAGATCTGTTGTTGTCAGTCGTGCACCCAGCTAACCGTTTTGGAAAAGGGGAGATGGTTTACACTCTAAAACAATGCCACTCATTTCAGGCATCAACGACGATTTGCATGCATTGTAAATGATGCTTTCATTATACACACAGAGTTGGTGATCTGTGCCTAACGCCTGACACTCTGTACGCTGTGTGTACCCGCTGGGTAGGCTACGTGGATTTTCATGCAATTGAAAATATTTTTTTTTCACGAGAGGATTATATATATTAAAAAAAATTGTAACTAAATATTAGTTTGTTACAAGAATAATCAATTTTCTCCAGAAATGTACATGTAGTTTTGATGATCTGTGCCTAGTGCCTGACACTGTAACGCTGTATGTAACGCTGGGTAGGCTACGTAGATCCGAGTAACGTCCAAATCATTATCCAGTAGAATTTCTTGCACCACTCCACTAACACCTTCTGGGAATGCCACCTCATGAATTCGTTTTAGAAAAAAGGAACCATTGCAATGCAAATACGAAATCTCAACCCCAAAAAGAGATTATGCAATGGTACACGTCTAGCGATTCGTTAGTGCTGACTCAACAAAATTCATCTCAAGGTAAACCTTTGAGAGATGATCATCAATTTACACCAAATGTGATATATAAAGAAATGTTTTATTAAATAACTTCAATACAATTTTTACATTTGAGTCTTTTTCATTGATTTTTTTTTATCAACCCGTTGTATGACGACCAATGACACTAGTTGTATAATATTATGTGCCAGCGTCCTGCTACGAATGGTCTCAATTTGTAAAATTAATCGCAATTCAGTTGATTGAGAAACACAGAGATCGTCGCCCCCTACTGCAAAAACTTAGCAAAATCCCTCCGGAAAAATAGTGGGGACTCGGTAAGCCTTTTCTGGGTTCATGAGCCGAGGAATAATAATAATAAAGGGAGGTCTGGACCGCCCTACTCAACGTGTTGCCGCCGCGACCCTCACCAGGACAAGCGGACTGAGAAAGGAACGAACGTGATTTGGTGATGCTGCTGCATTTGGAAGTGGTACACCAGAACATATATAAAACACACACATTCGTCAATAACACTGCCTTCGTTATGAAGAAGGGACCTTGCCCAAAACGTTGCCGATTATATACAGTATATACATTTCTCCTTTAAAGGCCGCGTTATTAACGAACGTGTTGAGTTGTTTTATTATTATTATTTCGAACAGGAAACTCAGCACCTGGGGAATTATCTCTTTGCGGTTCAGTTGGCCTCTCTATACCACACCATTTTGCTGGAGTTGTCAAAAATATCAGCAACAACAGTGTGATCAGTAATGTATCACTGTTAATGAATGTATTTTGTTTAACCAGAGATATATAACTCTGTTGGTTTTACAAGAGGCGCCTGATGCATGTGTAGTGACGACAGGGACGGTGGGACTTGAGGCAACACGCGTTTATTTACACTTAAGGATATACAGCTTATACTCGAAGAGGTAGCGGCCCCTTCACCCGTTCTCTCAAGGGAAGTATTCCCAAGCTAGCTCCCACCTATCTTCACACCCCTCCTCTCAAGGAGACTATCTGACCTGGCCCAGCGAAGGCACAGGTCCCGACCACCAGCCACACGAATTCGGCCCTTAGAAGGACATCGACCTTCGCGGTTCTGGGGTCGCACCACTGGCTTGCTCTGTCCGGCCATTAGAAGGGCAGCGATCCAGAGGAGTCCCAGGGTCTGGCTAGCTGGTCTTCAGTCTTCAACTGGTTCTTCTTCCTCTTCTTGACTCCTTCCCAACTGCCTCCCGCTCTCGAGCTCCCGTCTTTTATACGATTTCCCACCGAGGGGCGGGGGTTCTGTGGGATTCCAGCACCACATCCCCCTCCCCTCGAGAGGGGAGGGGTTCCGAGGGATCGTAGCACCACATCCCCCTCCTCTCGAGAGGGGCCCCGGCTAGGGGTGTGTCACAACCGCCCCGCACAGGTAAGTAATGGGAGTTAGCCGGCGTTGGTGTGTGCGCGTGTCAATACCACCACCACACATGTCCTGCGTTGTATTTTTGTAGTAGTCAAGAGGCAAGTAGTATAATTTTTGTGGGGGTATTTGGCTTGTGATCAGTAACGCATTACTATTGCTATGGACCGTATTGTAAACCAGTGTGTTCTGCACTCCTTCAACAGAGCAATTGAAAAACTACACGAACTCTCTCGCCTGAAGCCCTCTTGTCGTAGCTGGCAGACCTCGACATTGACATTTAGCTCCTGGGTGGGTGGGTGAGTGGGTGGGTGATGAATCAGTGGGTGGGTGGTGAGTGGATGGGGTGGATGGGTGGGTGGTGAGTGGATGGGTGGGTGGGTAAGTATGTGGGTGGGTGGGTGAGTGGTGGGTAATGAATCAGTGGGTGGGTGGTGAGTGTACGGGTGGTTGAAAGCGACTGGCTACGTACATATATGTTGAACTTATTTCACACCGTACGTAGCCAAACCGTGCGAATTAGAGGTGCAGGAGAAGGACAACAAACTAAACGCAAAAAAGAGGTGGGTGGACAGTTGAGTAAACAACAACAACAACAACGACGACGACGACAAGGGGCAATTACCCACAGAGCATCGGACTCACCCGGCGGCCCGCCTCGTTGTTGTGCAGGTTCATGAGAGCGCGCGCGTTCTCGGCGGAGGCGCGCGCGTAGTGCTGCTCGCGCTCGCGCGCGTCCACGAACTCCTTGGCGAAGCGGTAGCCGTACTCGAGGTTGTCGCCGCAGCCGCCCCACAGCCAGTCGCGCTCCAGGTCAGGCGGACGCGCCGCCCGGCTGCAGCCGCACGTGGCCAGCTCTCCCTCGCGGCACGCGCGCGCCACCGCGTTCACCACGCCCGCCGCCGAGACGGCGTAGGCGAACGCCGTCTCGCGGCTCCCTGCCCGCGCGTTGCACGCAACGTAACGTGTTGGGGACGCGATCCACGACTCGTACCGGCGCAGGTAAACAGACCGCGCCCGTTATCCGTGATGCAACATTGCCGGAATCGCGAATGGTCGAACGAAAAATGCGCGCAGAAAAAAAAACTCCAACCGAATAGTCACTTTTCTCGAAAGACAAATCCGTGAATGAAGAGTTATTACGGTATTTAACTTAGTTTTCTCTGAGTTGAGTTTATCCTCAGCACTCATGAATAATAATAAAAAATATATTTGATTTGACACGTAAGAAACGCTTATTCGTTTCATAAATAAACGTATACCTGCAGCATACCTCTAGTGTAGGATACGCGCCAATTTCTGATACCAGGCAGTGCATTGCGAGCTGTGAAATTTTCTAATGGAAACATCTCGTGACTTAGCAGGACAAATGGAATGTCAGTCATTTGGCTTGTGGGTAGACCTTAAGATGTTTGTCCAGTTTTCTGGCTCTCTTTATTGTGCCTCCACATTTGCAACTTCATTACTCATCATCATGCCTTCTCCAGTAGTGCAGCCAATAATAACGACCAATTTAGTGTAATAATTTCGACTTGTAATGCACGCTGATCGGTATTCACTCCCATAGAGAGACGACTCAGAGGTGCAAGGAGGAACCACAGCCAAGAAGGAAGGCAGCAGCCACGCGGCTAGCCGGTAGCAACAATTGCCCAAGCTCTATGGTCCTCTATATATAAAGGTAAAATATTTTTTACTTTACAAGGTAAGGCCCACTGTGCTATACAGGTCGTTTTCAGGCATGCATAGCCACTACCGCTTGGCTAAATTATACTCGCTCAGGGAATCTGGAACGCTTTCCCGCTCCGCATTACGAAGCGTTCGAGCTCCCTCCGCCACCTTCAAGAGTCAGCTTAAGGCAGACTGTATTCTTGGTAAAGGGCAGGTATGTATGTTGAACTTCTTTCGCACCGTACGTAGCCAACTGTGCTAACCGAAGATGCAGGAGAAGGACAACAAACTATACGCAAAAAGCAGTTCTAAAGAAATGAGCTTTCACTCTAGATGATTTGAAAGTGCATAGCTCCAATTGCTTCCTAGTATCAGAAAGAAGAGCGTTCCAGACAGCCGCAGAAGCGAACGTGAAAGGGCGTGATGCAGTGACTCTCATCGCATGATGATTTATGCTCCTTAGCATGTATCGATGCATTGATGCATCGATTTGAATTGATTTTTTCACAATATATGTGCACGTAATTGTAGGTGATAAATGTATGATTTATGATGAATGCTCATTTTATACTAATCTTGCATTCAAGTCAATGGAGTGAACAACGATGTACGAACAAGATAAATATTAATGTGAAACAATACAATATAATGGTGAAAATTAGACAAAAGTAGGAATTGATACTATAATCTAACGGTGACTTCAATTGACAATTTTGCTGAGACAACTGGCAAACCAATCGTGACGTCTGAAAATTTTATTGTAACAATCTCTGTGGAGATTAATCATTAGACTTTGCTGGTTGCTGGGAGTCCCATTCTGCTAGGTGACATTGTAAGCCATGTCTCTCTCTGATGTTCCATGATAATAATGAGTGAGTGAGTGGTGGGTGAATGAATGAGTGAGAGGGTGAGTGAGAGGGCTTGTGAGTGAATGAGCAGATGGGTACGTGGTTCTTTGGGTGGGTGTGTGACTAAGTGCGAGTTGATGGTGGGGTGAGTGAGTGGGTGAGAGGGTGAAAGGGAGAGTGAGTGAGTGGGTGAGTAAGTGAAAGGGAGGGAGGGTACGTGTCTGGGTGGGTGAGCAAGTAGGTGAGCGGGTGAATGAAGATGAAATTGAGTCAGCGAGCGACTGACCTATCTGGGTGAGCCGCCCAAAGACGGAGTCGCTGTCCGCGGTGCTGCAGTTCCAGCGGCGGTTACGGAACTGGTGCTGGCACTCGCGGATGGCGAGGCGTGCCCCGTCCCCGATGTGCACCACGTGGTCCTGGTAGAGCTGGCACAGCTTACGCTGGCCTTGAGACAGCCCCACCAGCTGCGAGCACAGCGGCTGTGCTCCCAGCAGGTACAGCTCCGGGCGCTGCAAAGGATTCATGGCCAGCGACCTTGCCGGGCAGGGCGTGGAACGACAAAGGGGAGGGCGTTACGGAAACATGGGGTCAAGATGGTCAGCAGTCAACCTCGAGAGGGTATTTGAGCTATTCTTATTTAATGGTAAAGGTGCCGTTATGCAACTGCTCCATCAAGACACTCTTAGCGGAAACACATTCCTGCGGAGGGAGCTGGTAGGAACGTTGGGTTGCTCGGTCAATGGCCAGGGTCAACGGCGGCACCACGTGGTGTATTACGCAAATATGCCCGACTGTGAGGGCGGGCACAAGCCGGCGTGAGTAGGTTAAACGTTGAGTTTTATAAGGGCACCACGGAGTGACCAGCCCCTCCCCACCCAACTCCACCCCTCCCACCCCCCACCCAGCCGCACCCAGCCCCTCCCCACCCTCCCCACCCAACCCCACCCCTCCCACCCCCCACCCAGCCCCACCCAGCCCCACACTCCCCACCCAGCCCCTCCCCACCCTTCCCACTCAGCCCCACCCTCCCCACCCAGCCCCTCCCCACCCTCCCCTCCCATACAGCCCCACCCCTCCCATTTTTGAATGCACGACGGACGGACGGACACAATAATCCCCTGTGGGCTGGTGTAACCAGGAGGTTCCTAGCAGTATAACCTCCATTGGAGACAGGCGAAAGAGATCTATAGGGTATTTGTGCTACTCTTCCATACTGGTCGGACACCTTAGAAGAGGCTTCAAGATCAAGTGTATTTTGTTTGAACAGGTGAGAACACAAGAGACCATAATAGTCTCATTTGCAAGGGTAACCTGGGGCATTACTCTGGCAGTAGCGGGTGATGATTCATGTGTATACTGCCAAGTGAGTAATTGATTTCGATTTAAAGCTTTCGTGACTGCAATGATTCATCTTCTTTGGTTCTTTCGGTAAAGTCACGTAGAATGAGAATAAAATAATAAATTGATAAAATAAAATAACACAATAATATTCTCACATTCTCACATGAGAATATTATTGTTATTGTATTTTATCAATTTATTATTTTATTCTCATTCTACGTGACTTTACCGAAAGAACCAAAGAAGATGAGTAATTGATGTGTGAGTACAAAGACAAAGATTCCCCATATAGCTTTAACAAACTGTTGGGGCAGGTGCTGTTAGCGAGTACTTATCAGGACCGGAACGGCACACGAGGGGGTGGGTAGCCAGCACCATGCCCGGTCGCATTTGTCTCCCCAGTGGATATATTTACACATTGCATCAGGTACTCATTTTAGGCTGAGTCGACCTAGGGAATCCCCAGAACCGATTCAGATAATCATCACGGGTGTTGGCCGTAAGCGGGAATTGAAGTCGGGTGGCCGGGTTCGTAGCGCAGCGTGTGAGTAGTCACACTGTTATCTGCCACGCGCGTTCTGCTGAATGACTAACTGCTGTGTGGTTGGACGTGGGGGTGGATTTAAGAAAATTGCTCCATTGTCACAACTGTTGTGCTGGCAGATCGAAATGGCGACCTCTATTGCCAGTCCATTGTGGTGACCATAACCATGGCAGCATATGCAGTGTACACAATAAAAACACACCATGAGAACATATATTCAGTGTCTCTACTGTATATCACTGCTTTAACAACACATTCCAATGAGAATACAATTTTCATTATTTCGCGCTAAATCATTTACCAAATAAATACATATAAAAAATAGATCTTGACAGAGTAACACTGGCGGGGGAGGTGGGCGGGGGGTATGACATCTTTCACGGAGTCAATAAGTTTACAATTCAGAGCATCTGCGTTGAATAATTCATTCAAATACGATCACGAAGCCTTAGTCCCTCGGTGCTTCTCGCGTGCTCGAATGTACACAGCAAGCCCTCTGACTTGAGCGCAATTTGTGGAGGCAGACATTGAAATATTAACACGCTTGCAGAAAGGCAGCAGCCTCTGCCTGCGACCTGAAATAGCCGGGCTTACGTATCGGAACGCATTCGCTGAGCGGCAACCTGAAATATAAAGCTTCTTAAATATCGCACCGTGGCGCTCGGGGAAACAAGAATCTCTCGCCATGTGTAGGCTGAGAGTGATTAGAGTGCACAATTGTGGGGGGCCATGGGACGCAACCAACACGCCCGTCTGTACCTTGACGAATAATGTTTTGTATCAGTTTACACGCTATGTGCCCCGTGTAGTATAAGAGGTGGTGAAACACATTTTCCTCAACGTTTTTTTAAATAACAACCACTCGCGATATTTATTTTGGATTACATGCACCCCTAAGATAAGTTAACCTATCTCTGCGGTTTGTAGTCTAATATGAAATTAGATGGCTACCAAAATAAGCATAATTTTGCAATACGGAAACTTAGAAAAAACGCAGTACCCTGTTTTACAAACATTTAGAAAAGCCTGGAATATATCGTTGATACAACCAGAGCATTTAATTGGATGCATAATTGTTTTTTTTAAACCATCCAAAAGATATCAGGTATAAGTGTAGGAAAACAGCAACAAAATACATCTCCATGGCTACTGAATAAACAGCACAACATCTTTATCACCTTCGGAGAACTGTAGTTCATGAGTTTACCCAAAGCCCTGAGCTTGCATACAGAGATGCAAAGTAATATTGAAACAAGGCTCCATATTAAAGTTTAAATTTTAAACCAATGACAAAATTTATTCATTGCATTAGACCACCGTTTTGCCGAGATAAAATGTGAAAATAGTTGAGTCCGCCCATGCCTTGGTAGGCTTTAAACCCTGCTCGAAATTTGCATGCGACGACGATTCTGAAATACTTCCAAGCATAATAAATGACATTCCCTTTGGCGGGTGGCTTGCTAGTGTCACGCCACAGCCGGATGTCAAGTTAACACCCCACGGGCGTCAATGAGCCCAAGATAAACGAAAGGCGCAGGCTCGTAACTCACCCCTGCTACTGCGGCTGCCGGTGGTGCTGGCGGTGGCAGAGGTGTTGTGTAGGGTCTCAGCCACCGTGGGTATTGTGGGTGAACGGGCACCCACACCATTTTAGTTATGACATTTGAAAAAAAAAATCACAGCCTTTTTTTTATCCGTATTTTCTCCTTTCAACAAGGTTACAGATGCTGATTGTGCCGACGGACAAGCTTTTAAATTTACTTGGCAGCTTGCTAATATGTAGTCGGCTCGTTACAGAGTCAGTAACCAGTGGTTTCTTAGCCTTAATATAATTACAGTTCGGTCGAAGTCCTGTAATCCATGACGAAGCGCGGGGGCCACTGGGCAGGCAAAATCAGTGCCGAGGCGTCTTAACGATGCACTCACCACCACTCGCTGGCGTCCACGCAGGCTCGGTGGCAGAGTAGCAGCAGGAGCAGTACCAGAAAGGCGGGTAGCAGCAACAGGAGCGGAGATCTGTGGGGACCCATGGTCACTGCTGGAGCCCTGGAGGGCTCTCTCTGTCAAGAGGTGCGTCCTCTGCGGGAGTCGGAGCAGCGCGGGAGGGGCCCGTTGAGGGTGGGGCGGCGTGTCGGCGAGCTCCTCCAGAGAGACCCAGACGTATCTGTAAGAGGAGAACAAGGCTTAATGCAGCCAGCAAGCTCCGTGTGCCACTGCACAGACCTCCGGTTAGCACGATTGGTTACGTACGGCGCGAACGAAGTTCAACATATATTCATACAGGCGCATCTTGCCCATGTCAGCATGGCCCAGAAAACGGTTGCGCTCAAAACGCAAGTAAATTACTCGCAGTTGCGTGAAAATAGAATGATATATATATATATTTTTAGTAACCATATATTACAATATAAATAATCGTATAGCATTAATGGTTACCTGCTTGACCGTATGTAAATATAAGGTAGGAAGTGCAATGCATTAACTGCAATGTGTCAATGCAAATTAACAAATATCACCTTATTACACTAGATCGCAATTAATGTACGAGCAAGTAAAACAATCTCCTGCAATGTGATGGCTGGGTGGCTCAGAGATCAGAGCTGTGAGCTGGCGCCAATAGAATCCTGGGATTGAATTCATGCAGCCACCCGTGATTAAGCAGGCTTGTCAAGTGTAGCGAATTGATGATCTCGGACCCATTCACCAATGACTACATCCTAAAAACCCATAATATTAAAATTATCGTTTTCATCTTCTTTTTTTGAAAATGTCAGCAGTGAAAATTTTACATTTTGGTTTGTCACAGGACAAACATCAAACTTATAGCAGAGTGAATGTAAATGTGTGTTCCCTGTTACGTAAAGATGAACAAGCCACTTTAAGAGTTGTTTTCAGAATAGCTTCTGTGAAAAATTATTGTGCAGCCATTCTCGGACATAGGGTGGTCCCACTGCTTGTTGAGATATCTGAACGTCTCATGAAAATGATGCCAATAATGCACCAAGAAAAAAATGTAAACGTTAAAATAGTGAACGGTAAAAACCTTCATACATTTTGATATTTATTTGAACAAAAATTGATGTCTGCAAGGACACCAGAATAAAAAAATAAAAATACATCTGGTAAAATTCCATTGTGCCTCTCTCCAGAGTATTTTTCTTTTTCATTCGGGCTGCGCGGATTTGTTCCCATAGGCCTCTGAACCCAGCTGGTTGGTTCCACGTCCTGGGCCCCCGTGCAATCTGCTCCATCTAAATATAAACCGTAGACATTTGTTTACCGAGCGGGGCCAGGGTTGTCCAGCGCGTGCGCGCCAGGCAGGTGTTCCTGCCATCAGCCGCGGCCACTGTGCCCACTCGGGTGATTCCACCCCCCCCCACCTTCCCCACCGCCGCTAAAAGCCACTCACTGTGAATCGCTGAGGGCCCTACCCGCGGTGAGGAGTGTGGGCTGCCCATGTTGCTCAAGCTGTTACTTTAAAAGTCAGACGCGACCCAGAAAATAAGTTCCTTTTTGTTGTTGTTGAGTTTGTTGTCGAAAGCAAAGTGCAAAACGTGATGCCTTGCAATAAGCTATCTATTTGGTTGTTTGGACATCTTGACAGCTTGTTTTATTGCCAGGAAAGGTAAAGCCTTTTCTTATATTTTTCATAATTGTGATACTGCCAATAAATGTCCCATAGATACAACTTTATTTCGAGCCAGGTGAGTGCCCACTGAGACTATACGCCATATATTTTTTTTATTAACTGGAGACCCTGCTCACAATCAGATGACACAGAACTGCGATTAAAAGAGAGAGAGAGAGCAAACCAGGCGGCCTACATACGCAAAATTCAGTAAATCCAAAATATATATCACCCATTATATTGAGCAACTAAGTGCGATACAGTTTAATCTCGAACTTAATATTTCAACAGATATATATAAACCAAAGTTGAGCTTCGAACCATATCATCTAATAAGATCTCTAAGGCTAAGCAGGGAAAAGATGCCATGCCATAGGCGGCTGCGCCAGCTGTACTTTGCGGTGGTCGATGCATTACAACATACTGTTGTGCTGTGCTTCTATGCTGCCGCGTCTATTACGCTCTCCGTCTCAATCGTCTTGAGCCCAAATTGTCTGTGGAGGCACATAGGTTCCCAGCCATCAAGCACGGGTTTGCAGGCACACCCCGCACTGGCAGTCGAGAGCCGAACATAGCAAGGTGCGGAGGTTGTGCCCACAATGAAACGGAACTCTTTTGTGTCAACTGCTTGGACGCCCGCAGCTGTTGTAGCTGCTGCTGCTGCCGTTGTGTGGATGTCGGTAGTTCCCACGCGGTGTTTGCTGCCTGTATTACCACGTGATCCCACATGGTGGCACCAAGCATACGCATGCTGAACATGGCCCGCACAGTTTTCGTTGCATTCATTCGTCGGCCGTTCATTATTACAGTGTTCAAAAAAAATTGTTCCCTGGTACTAAGTGTTATTTCCTAATTGCTTATGCCTCAAAAGTACAAAAAAATGGCTACTAATCCCCACAAACTTTGCTTTTGTGACCAGGGCAGTGATATTTTATAATGTACCTATTTTTAATGAGAAAACGGGCGAATTTGTGTCTTTTCGTTCACATAAAGTCAGAAAAAAACAACACATTAATCAAAATGAGCATGTATTTATACTAAAGTAATACAAAAAGATGTAGGCACCAAGGCGCACTACCACAGGCGGGACTGGCCACAGCGGACCGAGTTCTCTGTGGGGAGGAACAACGTCAAGTGGGAGCCACTGGTGGACCCCCGGAAGGTGCTGATGCCACCACTGGACATCAAATTGGGCCTTATGAAACAATTTGTCAGAGCCGTAGATAAGGAGTCGGCAGCCTTCAAGTACCTTGAAGACTTCTTCCCTAAGCTGTCTGAGGCAAAGGCCAAAGCCGGTGTCTTCGTCGGACCACAGATAAAGATCCTGGAGTGCAATGAATTCCCCAAGAAGCTCACTAGTAAGGAGAAAGCGGCTTGGAACAGCTTTGTCGCAGTGGTTCGTGGCTTCCTGGGCAATCACAAGGTCGAAAACTACGTGGAGCTGGTTGAGACTGGTGAAGAACTATGGCACAATGGGCTGTAGGATGTCCTTCAAAGTCCATATCCTTGATGCTCATCTTGATAAATTCAAGGAGAACATGGGAGCGTACTCGGAGAAGCAAGGCGAGCGCTTCCACCAGGATATACTGGACTTTGAACGCAGCTACCAAGGACAGTACAACGAGAACATGATGGGAGACTACATTTGGGGGCTGATTCGTGAAAGTGATTTACAGTTTAATCGTAAATCTCGAAAAACTACTCACTTTTAAATATTTTGTAGTCAGTTTTGTGTTACTTTAGTATAAATACATTTTACTTTAGATTCATATGTTGTTTTTTTATGACTTTATGTGAACGAAAAGACACACATTCGCCTGTTTTCTAATTGAAAATAGGTACATTTCAAAATATCACTATCCTGATCACAAAAGCATAGTTTGTGGGGAATAATATCAATTTTCATTATGAGACCACCTTTGCCAGAAACAAGATATAGGAATAGGTTTTACCCTTTTAACTGGCACAAAAATTGACACCTTTATGCAAGGCATCATGTTTGCAATAACCACAACACAAGCAGTCAAAATGCAAACAAAAAAGACAACTCTGATAATAATATGCACTGTCCTTGAATTTGATTGGTCCACACCCGAGACAGCTTTTCGTAGAGCCTAGTCTCCATTGGTGTTGGACCAGAAGACGCCAAAAGGCGTACAACTCAAAAACAGCGCACTATCAGAGTATTGAGGGCTCGGGGTGAGCATTTACATTATGAGACCCCCTTTGCCAGAAACAAGATATAGGAATAGGTTTTACCCTTTTAACTGGCACAAAAACTGACACCTTTATTCAAGGCATCATGTTTGCAATAACCACAACACAAGCAGTCAAAATGCAAACAAAAAAGACAACTCTGATAATAATATGCACTGTCCTTGAATTTGATTGGTCCACACCCGAGACAGCTTTTCTTAGAGCCTAGTCTTCATTGGTGTTGGACCAGAAGACGCCAAAAGGCGTACAACTCAAAAACAGCGCACTATCAGAGTATTGAGGGCTCGGGGTGAGCATTTACATTATGAGACCTCCTTTGCCAGAAACAAGATATAGGAATAGGTTTTACCCTTTTAACTGGCACAAAAACTGACACCTTTATTCAAGGCATCATGTTTGCAATAACCACAACACAAGCAGTCAAAATGCAAACAAAAAAGACAACTGATAATAATATGCACTGTCCTTGAATTTGATTGGTCCACACCCGAGACAGCTTTTCTTAGAGCCTAGTCTCCATTGGTGTTGGACCAGAAGACGCCAAAAGGCGTACAACTCAAAAATAGTGCACTATCAGAGTATTGAGGGCTCGGGGTGAGCATTTACATTATGAGACCTCCTTTGCCAGAAACAAGATATAGGAATAGGTTATACCCTTTTAACTGGCACAAAAACTGACACCTTTATTCAAGGCATCATGTTTGCAATAACCACAACACAAGCAGTCAAAATGCAAACAAAAAAGACAACTCTGATAATAATATGCACTGTCCTTGAATTTGATTGGTCCACACCCGAGACAGCTTTTCTTAGAGCCTAGTCTCCATTGGTGTTGGACCAGAAGACGCCAAAAGGCGTACAACTCAAAAACATGCACTATCAGAGTATTGAGGGCTCGGGGAGAACATTTACATTATGAGACCTCCTTTGCCAGAAACAAGATAACACCAATGGAGACTAGGCTCTAAGAAAAGCTGTCTCGGGTGTGGACCAATCAAATTCAAGGACAGTGCATATTATTATCAGAGTTGTCATTTTTGTTTGCATTTTGACTGCTTGTGTTGTGGTTATTGCAAACATGATGCCTTGAATAAAGGTGTCAGTTTTTGTGCCAGTTAAAAGGGTAAAACCTATTCCTATATCCAATATCAATTTTACATACTTTTTAGGCATGAGCAATTACGAAATAACATTTACTACCCAGGAACAAAAATTGTGTTACATCGTGTTATTCTCAAGCTCACAATGGTACAGCAAAGCCCCCCCCCACCCCCTTACTTCCGTGCTAAGACCTCACGACCACTATCACGAACGCCCCC